TTTGCACTGTTAAGCTCCTTATGGATATTTATACTTCACGTTTCTGACCTGATGAAATCAAGTTAAAACTCAATTTGGAGGATTTAGAAGCATGACAGAACTAGGCTTCTCAGAAAGGTACAAAGAGAAGAATTTTGTTTCATGAAATGAAATGTTAGTTATCAATTTTGGGTCAATTTTCTTCTAAATGGTTAATGGACTTTTATAGGATTTCTATTTAATTCTTGTGGATAAATGTGTCATTGATAGTATTCTAAGATGGAATTCATTCGCTTTATCGAACCCCTCTGCTGTCTTTTGACCCTGATGACAGAAGTTGAAAAACATGCTTTTGTGTTAGGTTAAGAAGGGCAACCAGCTAAGATTTTTTGAAAATTATTGAAATTAACAATACAGTACTTCATTATTAGGGAAAAGGAAATATAATTTAATTACTTTTTTCTTTTGAAGTTTTATAAACCATAATAAGTCAAGAAATATTTAGGTCACTGAACATTTTTTAAGTACCAAACACTAATTGATTATTATCCCTAACTATAATAAATCTCTTTAATGGAGACAAAGAGCAAATTTGGCCTGAGAATCCTGAATAATTTTACAGTATAACTTTTAAACTGCATTACCATAGCTTTTTCAAGTGAGTCAGTCAAGTGTATGCATGTGATAAGCTCATCCATTCAGGTTCACCAATCGCTCATTTAACTTACTATTTGGTCCGTTTCTATGGGACTCTCAGCTCTGATTGAAGTATGCTGTTTTCGAAACTCTTATTATCCAAGCATAACTAGTCCTTGGCAAATCCTGAAATAGGTGATGTTTATTTTCAGCACTTTCATCTACCTCGTTCTGCGTACTTTTCCTTCCTCAATATTCCTTCTTCTTTCCTCAGGCACCCTTTCTACTCACGTTCTGTCTTACAGCTGTCCTTCCAACCTCCCTCCCCCCATCAAAGCCTGCTGTCAAGACAACATCTGAAGCTCATTTGCACTAATTCAGCAGTGACTGATCATGACTCCCAGTGATGTTAACTTTGGAGGATGGGTTCACATTATACAAGGCCTTAAGCTAAAAAATAACGTTTAGCATTTATGTGGCACTGCTTTTCTTTTTTATGTTCAACAAATTTGCTGCCTTTTGTTTTATTGATTTATTTTTAAAAATTCTATTTATTTATTTGCCTTTTGTTTTTTTTATATCAGAATTATAAGATTATAGATTTATAGCTGGAAAGGATCTTGGAAATTCTTGAGTTCAATCCTTCATATTTATAGATGAAAACTGAGTCCGGGGATGTTCAGTGGCCTGTCCAGGGTCATACCCAAGGTCAGAGTAAGCATCTGATTCAAGATTTGAACTCAGGTCTTTCAGCTTTAAGCTGGGCATTCTGTACCCTATACCACTGCTGGTGGCATACCAAAGATAAACAGCATGGCAAAAATAACAAAGACACAATCTGTATCTGAACTGTGCGTAGCCATCTGATGTTCTTCTAAGAGGAAGGATTTAATTTCTCTGGGACCAAGATGAGTTATTACGGTTAGCTAACACTTTTCCCACTCTGTGAGACAGACATTATGGAGAGCCTTATGCCAATTTTATGGGCGAGGAAACTGAAGCTCTTAGAGATTTGTCAAAGTTGCCATTAGTGTCAGATGTGGGGTTTGAACCGAGGGCTATGCTGATGCTGAATCCAACACTCCTTTCGTTGTACCATGCTCCCTCTGTTACATTGCTAAAGGAACAAAACTCTAACTCTAGAATGCGTGGCATCAACGAGTAGATGGGGGCAGAGATTTGGAGGACAGAGAACCCTTTCCATTACCTCAGAAATCACACCATATTCCAAGAGGCTGGCTCTACTTTCAAGCTTTTAAATTTTCTTAAATTTTATTTTAAAAGGAGGCCCGCTTATTATAATATACACACAGAGATACAATGATGTCCATATGCCTTTTCACATTTGGGTAGATTAAGCAATGGTTTTGCCAGTAAGGCAGAGTTCAGATCTGAAACCTTTGTATATACCATGAGTTTAAAAAAAATGAATTTAGGGAAGTTTACATTCAAGCTAAGGAAATCCACTTTGAGTCTATTTTCCAGGAGGAAGCTAGATGGAGAAATATATGGAGTATTAGACTCTATAGGGTCAAGAATACATGAGTTTGAATCCTGCCTCAGACTCAGTTAGCTTTAGGACCATGGGCACATTGCTTAATCTTTTTTCAGCCTCAATGTCCTAATCTGTAAAGTAGTGAGAGTATGTACTTCTCACGGTTGTTGAAAGAATTAAGAATGATAACTTATGTAAAGCACTTTGCAGACTTTAAGGTGCTATATAAAGGTTAGCTATACCCAGTCTTAATAATCTTATCTCTACAACATCTTTTGCTTAAGTCCCTTCCTCTCCATTTGGGCAGATACCACCCTAGTTCAGGTTCTCATTACCTCATGTTTAGACCACTAGAATTGCCTCCTGTTTTGGTTACCCTGCCTCATCTCTCCTCCTCCAATCTATCTCTTAAAATTGCCAAAGGAATTTTTCTGAAAGTGTAGATCTTACAATGTCATCTCTTTCTATATCTACTCCCTCCTCCCAACAAACTCCAGTGGTTCCTTATTGCCTTGAGGATCAGATATGAACCCCATTTATTTGGCATTTATAGCTCTTCCCAACCTGACCTCTTCCTATCTCCCATTCTAGTCTTCTTATACATTCCTCTATGCCACAGTGTTCTATTTGCTATTTTTTACCCATGTCTCTCCTCCCAAACCTCCTTTTCATCTTTGCTTCTTTGTACTGTCTCTAATGCCTGGAATATATTCTTCTATCCCTTTCCCTCTAGGAATCCCTAGCTCACCTTTAGCTTTTCTGATTCTTCCCAGATACCAATACACTCCCTTACCAAATTATCTTGAATTAATTTTGAATATACTTTGTATAAACTTGCACACACACACACACACACATATATATATATATATATATATATTCATGCTGTCTCCCCTATTAGAATGTGAACTCCCTGAAGATGATTTCATTTTTGCCTTTGAATTTCTAGTGCTTAGCACAGAGTCAGGCATGTAGAAAGTGTTGAATAAATGCTTGTTATTTGATCAGTAGAAGTGGTAAGAAAATTATCTTGGTTGTGATAGAGACTATTGAGAGATGAGATTCAAAAGGTATCCAGGATTTGGGATGGGTTGGGGAAATAGGTGCCCATTGATGGAATACTTCTGTACATATTAGTATCTGTTTCACAAAGTAGTGTAGTTGAATCCTATAATCCTTGTGCAGGAACCAAAGCTAGATTTCTTCAATCATTCTTTCATTCATTCATCTTTCAGATCTAGCTCTTAATCCATATATTACTTTCGGGGTTTTGTCTCCAGTAGGCTCTTCCTTAGGACCTTATGATATTTAACCTGGTATTTGTATGTCTTAGCTTTCCTATTTGATGATCAGCTCCTTCAGGGCAGGGTCTATGTTATTTTTCTTTCTTTCTTTCTTTTAATGCTAAAGCACAATGATTTGTACATTCTAGGCACTAGGAATTGTTTATTGAACAAAAAAATCAATTAATCAATTAACAAGTATTTATTATTTATGTGCCAGTCATTGTGCTAAGCACTGAGGATTCAAAGAAAAAGCAAAAACCTTGAGAAAAAGTCAAAGAGCTTATCCTCAAGGAAATTATATTCTAATGAGATAGAAAACATAAACAAAATAATCACACATGAGATACATACAAGGAGGAGATGGCGGTCTTGTTTTTTGCTCAGTTATTCTGCTTCCTTACATGTCTTTGTCCTGAATTTGTGATTATCTGGTAAAAGAAGAATCTTTGGTGAATGGTGAGCTGTGGATTTGAGTAATATCTTGGACTTGGGTGAAGTTCACATGCCAATTATATTGAAGGGCTCTAGGTGCAATTCTTGACTTCTCCATCTTCTCCAGGTATGTGGAAATGTAAAGTGGAAGCTAGATAATGAAGAGGATATTGAGTCTGAAGGAGTGTAGGTATATGTTACGAATAGGGGTGTATACACTTCCAGGCTAGGTGAACACATCTTAAAAATGGAAGTGTTAATATTTTCATTGACCACTTCACAGTATTCTGAAGAAAGGTCTTTACAACTCTTAAAGTGACATATCCATAAGACATTTTATCACGAGATAGGTTATCCAGGCACTTTTCTTACAATTGACAATTACTCTTGTAGAAAAACATAATTGCAGTCAGACTAGACCTTGGAGGCTGACTAGTCCAATTCTTTCATTTTACATATGAGAAAATTGATGGCCAGAGAAGAAAAGTAACTTCCTAGGTCATACAGATAGTGGGTGCCAGAGCTGGGACTTGAACCCATGTCTTCTGCCTCTTACATCTTTGCACCTTCCTGTAAATGTTCTCTACATGGATGTAAATTAATATAACAAGTAATATTCCTGGAGGAAGAAGCAAGAGTTCCATCTCCTTGTGGAGAAAAAAAAAGGAAAAGAAAAAAGGTAAAGAAAAAGAGAAAAAGTAAATACTGTGTACCATCATCCTCTGTTATACGCTTCAGCTGTGTTTGTCCCTAAAAAGTCTAGGCAAGTTCTGTATATGTGCCATGGAATGGAAATACCCCGAAGGCAGCATCATGTAACCCATCCTTTCCTTGTTCATCTTACTGAATGAACAGCTAGCAAAAACAAGATTTCTCAGGGAAGGCAGCACCAGAAGGAGAAACTTAATCCTAGCTTTCCCTGTCGTCAGAAATATTTCTTGCATCATTTTGTTGCTGTTCAGTCATTTCAGTCGTGTCCAACCATTTGTGACCCCATTTGGGGTTTTCTTGGCAAAGATACTGGAGTCATTTGCCATCTCCTTCTCCACCTTGCATCACCATCTTTTGTCAAAATTGACCAATAGCTAGGCATCCCTTTCCTTCAGTCAGGTGGACAGAAGCAAGAACACTTTAAATGCCACTTCCCAAGTGGGAGGGGGAAATTGGCTGACATGGGGGGTCAGGCTCTTCACCAGTTTCAGGCTCTGTTCTGGAAGAATTGGCTCTGTCGTCTGAGGCAACCGGTGAGTTGTTTTTGTAACTGTTTTGCAAAGTCTCCTGTGTATTGTCTATTGAAGGAGTACCTGTCTTTCTTCCCAGCCCAGCTTTTTGCTTTAGAGAAGATTTAGAATTATCATATGGCTGAGGACAAGGGCTGTTTTTTGCCTTACTTTGTACCCCTAGTGATAAGCATAGTGTCTGATACATAGTAAGTACCTAATAAATGTTTGTTGAATGACTGAATACATGTATTTTATGCTTTTCCATGCTTTGGCCCATGGAAGACCTGATAATTTAGATTTGGAATATTTCAGTTCTTGTAACTAGCACTCTACTAAGACCTGAGACTTGTAGAAAATGTTTAATAATTAAGAATCACTAGAAAGATGTAACAACCTTATATATTTGGGCCATTCCCTAGAACTGATATTTTTGATTCTTGGAAGTAGATACTGGGTTGCTCATCACTGGATTTAAAGAACAGGTACACCCAATGAATTATTAAAAGATAAATGACACAAAATAACCAATGTATTATGTGTATAAGGAGCTGGTAGCATATTTGTTTGGTAAGACTTAAATGACTATTCGTTTCACTACACATGGGATTTAATCAAAATTTGGACAGAAAAAAATTTATCTACCTACATGGTTCCATTTAAAATTCTTTGGAGATAATTCATGTCTTTCTGGCGTCTTTAGAGTTCTAAAAGGATTCAAAATATTAGAACAAGCTTTTGACCCTTTTTATGATTAATATGTATAGATAAAAATAAAAATAATTTGCTACATTATTGATATAATCTGTTTTTATGTCCCTGAAAGTAAAATTTTTCTAGAATATTTGCTTCTAAATACAGTATTTTGCTTACACTCAATATTTGTATGTGTACTCATTAAAATCTCATTGACTTGAAACTTAAAAGACTTTATCAGTCCACAATGTCTTCTATCTTCAGAGGAACTACGGTTATTTAAAGAAATGTTTTCCTATCTTCTTCAAACGTCCTTGAGTTTTCAGGTTTATTACTCTCTCTCTCTCTCTCTCTCTCTCTCTCTCTCTCTCTCTCACACACACACACACACACACACACACACACACACACACACACACTCATATTTCAGATCAATTTATTTTCCAAAGCAAGTTATTTTGATCTTATTCCCCTTTCCCATCCAGCTGGGAAGGGGAGGAGGATCAAAATAACTTGCTTTGGAAAATAAATTGATCTCAAGTAGTTGGCATAAATCTTAGTCTGATACATTTGAATGTCTTAAAAATAATACTCAAATGGCCCGAGAAATTAAGAATGAGCGAAATGAGTCTTAAATAATGTTCTCCTACTGGCAGGCAGTGGATGAATGGTATCTCTTTAGAAAGCTAATTTTTAAGTCAGTTATTTGGAACTTGAAATACATTTTCCCATAAAAACATTATGAATGGTGGTCAGGTGCCTCGGCCAGCTAATCAGATCTTCTGTATTCCATAGGGCACCTAAATTATTTCACTAAGAGTACTAAGCTAAATTTTGAGTCCTTGAAGCAAGGGGGTCATGTAGTTAAGGAGAGCAGAATAGGTGGAGGATAAAGCAGAGTAGGAGAAGGATGAGATTCACCTTGGTGCAGGATTGTCTCCATGCACAATATAGAAAAGGACAAAAATTGTCTTTGGCATCTTCTCAGCTCCACTATTGTGTCTGATTTTTCAGTTTCCTTCGTGGCCTACACTGTCATACCTCACCCATATCTGTCCTATCTGCCACAATATTCCATGGTCTGTAGTTATCCAGCTACCTCTTTCAAAAGAGGTTTTCTCTTCCTCAGTGAATATTTTCACCTTGGTTTAGGACTAAAGCTATTTGACAGAAGTGATTTATACTAAGGAATGAAGGTCTTAGGAATAAGGAATAAATAAATATTTCTTGATCAACTGACTCCAGTCTCCTCAGAGGTATTTGCATCTAAAAAAAGATGATTAACTCAAAATGAATCTCTAATGGATGGCATTTCTGGTAACATGACTGTTTGAAATATAGAAATTCAGAGGGCAGGAAAGATATTTGGGGCAGTTTGGCCATCTACAGGTACACCATCCCTCATTTGATACCTGAACTTGGGTTAGCCCCTCTAAATTGTCCTTACTTTCTCATACTTTCTTCCATTCCTCCACTTTTGAATTCATAGTCACTAAAATATTCAAGTTTTTTCACCCTGGCTTCCATGACAGAGGTAGGAGAGTCACTTTCATAGTATTCTGGGGCCAATCATATGTATGTATTGCTCATTGTAAATAAGGATTTTAGACTCAAGTTATGTCTAAAGACTACCTTGTTTCATATATATATTCTTTCCCCAATTAAACTGTATGCTCAGTGTTTCTAAGGATTGTGTCTCAGATCCCCTGTATGTGTCTCATATAGTGCTGTACAGATAGCACATGCTTAATAAATGACTGTTAAATTGCTTGCCCCTATTAATGTATGAACTATATGGCAATCTTGAAAGGATGTTTCAAATCTTAGGAATGCAGTATTTTAGTACTTTTGTAATTTTGAGTCTTATTCTCTTAAAACAAATCTGACTTGTATGCCAGCCTTGTGGGTAAACATTAAATAGAGAAGTCAGGCATGAAATTGAGAGTGAGGAAGAATACCCTATCTTCATAAGCCACAAATTTAATGTGTTCATGTACAATGATGGAATAAAAATAATAGGATCATAGAATTAAAGCTGGGAGAGGACTCTAGACCTATTATGTCATTTTACAGAGACTGAAACTGAGACCTAGGGGGATGCAGTGACTTGTCTAATTGCTTAGATAGGGAGTAGAAGAGCGGAGATTTGAACTCAAGTCCTTTGGTTCCCATCTAGCACTCTTCCACTAAAGCTCTTCGTGTTCTGTATTCTGATTCGCTCTAAATCCAGATTTTTCTGTACTCATGTTCCCTCTATTCTCTGGTGAGATTCATCATTACAGGTAAAATGTTTTGAAAACAAACACATTCAAAAGGAAGACTCTTACCACATTCTCTTTCTACAAATTGTAGGATTGTATACAAGAGCATGCTTTTGGTATTTCACTGACCAAATCCACTTGGATATGATTCAAAAGAAACTCACCTTATCTTGAATTCTACTTTATGGTTAAGTGTGCTACAATTAGATTCCAGCACATAGTGGAGCTATTCCAAGACATGAACCATGTGTTTTTGAAAATAGCTAATAAACAAAGATCCAATGAATTGAGATAATTTATCTACCCTCTTTAAGTTATGTCAATCCAAAGTACACATGTGACTGTCTAAAACTGGGAATCAAAGTTCAGCTCACTAACCTACAGTTTGCTGATTCCATTTTCTTCTCTTATTTGAAAATTAGAACATTTGTCCTTTTCTTGTACTTCTATACTTCTCATCTCCAAGCTCATTGAAAGTGGCTAAGCAATCACACCTACCATGTCTTTTAGTAATTGAGTATGTAGTTCTCTGGGCCTGGTGAGCTGAACTCCTAAAGGGCTGTTAGGTGCTCCCTGACAATTTCTCTGCTTTATCTTTTGCGTCGACTTCTTATTAATCATTTTTGGACTGTTCTATTCAATCCAAAGATTATTTTTCCATGGCAGAAAAAGACATGAGGTAAAATTATACAGCTCTCTCTTTTCTCCTTTGGACGTTCTTGTTATCACATACAGCCATGACAGTTATTCTATCCTTTCTTTGATCCTATTCTTTTCTCTCATATAGTTAAAACCCACTTTGAAAAAAATTATATTATCCTTAGCATCCTCTAGCCTTAGCTTATTTTGAACTGTAGTGCTATTGACATTCCTCTTACAGGACCAGCCATTCTTTTGTATTTATTCTCCATTACTTGCACTCGTTTCCATCTTGTATACATTTCCTTGAGGAATTTGCGTTCATTGATAATTTTGCTGTGCACTGATCATTTGATAACCATTTATTAAGTGCTTTACTACGTGCCAAGTATTGAGTTAGGTGATAGGAATACAAAGACAAAATGATCTTTGAAATAATCTGCTTTTTAAAAAAATAGTATTCTTTTTTTTTCTTTTTATTGAGGGAATTGGGGTTAAGTGACTTACCCAGAGTCACACAGCTAGGAAGTATTATGTGTCTGAGGTTGGATTTGAACTCAAGTCCTCCTGACTCCAAGGCCAGTGCTCTATCCACTGCAACACCTAGCTGCCCCACAATCTTTGCTTTTAATGAATTTACATTCTATTGGGTGAGATAGCGTGTATATAAATAAGCATATTCAAAATCAGTGCAAGAAAGTTATATATAAGGTAATTAAGGAGGGAGGGCACTAGCAAATGGTAAGGTGGGGGCAGGAGTTCAGCAAATGCCACATGTGAAAAGTGGTTCTTGAGCTGGAAAGAAGTGAAAGATTTTATGAGGTGGAGGAGGTGAGGAGGGAGTGTATTTCAGGCATGGGGGATGATTGGTGCAAAGGCATGGTACAGAGATGGGAAATGGATCAAGAAGCAGAGAACAGGCTAATTTGGTTGGGCTGTAACGTATGGGAATGAAAATAATATACAATGAAGGTAGAAAGACAACTTACAGTAAGCTTGGGTGAACTTGGGGTGAGGTTGTGAAGGACTTCAAAATCCCCAAGAAGGAGTTTATATTTTATTCTATAGGCAATAGGCAGTCACTGAAATTTATCGAAGAGGGGAGGAACAGTTAGATTTGTGCTTAGAAATCAATTTATCAGTTGTATAGACATTGCGTTAGATTGGGGAGAGACCAGGGGCAGGGAGATCCAATTAAGAGGCCATTGCAATAGTCCAGGTGAAAAGTATGGAGGGATGGAACTAAGGTGGTGGTTGTGGGAACTGAGAGAAGTCAGATAGGAGAGATGTTGTAGAGGTGGAAATTGTCATATTTAACAACTAATTGAATATACTGGATGAGGGAGAATGAGAAGTTGAGCATAATATCAAGGTACAAACCTGAGAAGCTTGAAGAATAGTGTTGTCCTGGAAGGAATAAGAAAGTTT